CCCCCCCCCCCCCCCCCTCCTACGTGACCCCGGTTGGGTCGTCTAGCTGATAGAAGTGGAGGAGGGGGGCCAGAGGGGCAGACGACAGAGTCCAATGAAGGGAGAAAAAATATATATAGCTGCTTCGAAATTTTGCTGGATATCTGGAACAGGGACCATGGGTAGGGATGAATTGTTTTAAAGCGGCGCCTCTGATTGGCCCAAACCATCGCATTTGAACGAAGCTGATTGGGAGTTTGAAAGCGGGTTTTAAAAGCGGCACTTGGGATTAGTACAGGAGGAGTTGTTAGGAGCGCCGGCGGGACAGGCGCGCGCAGCGCTGCACGCGGCAGGACTCTGCGCTTTTTCTGCGCAAAGAGAAAGGACACAGCTCTCTCACCGCAGCACACACACGTACAACCCACAGCACACGCACAGCACCACAGAGGATGAACCATGGGTCGCAGGAAAGGATCAACGCCTGCGGCTTGCGGCTGGAGCAAAAATGCCGGGGACGAAATCAAACGCAGAGAAAAGAGCGACGAGGAAAAGCGATCACGGCAGGCAGCAGCTTTCCGTACGGTCACGGGATGGGCAGACACAACAACACGGAAGCGTCAGCGAGTCAGTTGCGAAGGTGCTACGAACGAAGACAACATGGGCAACGACGAGGAAAGTGCGGGTGAGAGGAGTACACCGACGACGATATCTGACGTCGGAAGAGGCAGTACGAGCCAGGCAGTACACGTCGTTCGTGGGGCATCAAATAACTCCTCAACCGCTTCAACCCAGTCGCCGTCTTCTAAGGGGAAATGCAAGGGGAAAGCTCGTAGAGAACGTCCCGTAGGAGCAGCGGCATCAGAGGTAGTTGCAGCAACAGAGGGGCCGGAAGCAGGAGGGACAGTAGAACCAGCTGCAACAGTAACTGCAGGAATGCCACAAGCACCAACAGCAACATCACCAGCAGCGGCAACAGCAATACAAGCGGCAACAGCAGAAGTGACGTCAGCAAGCCCACCACCATCTACCGCACCTGTTCCTCGACCACCGTCACCGCTACTAGCGGCTGGGGCGGCGGCGTTACAAGGGGAACAAAGACGAGGACGAGGCGGCACTGCAAGTTCTAGTCCCTGTGCTGAAATTCGACCAACAGCTGCGGCAGGAGGCACGGCAGGTGCCGTTACAGGGGGGACGATAGCTCAAGCTGCGGCTGTGGCGGCGGCGGCCGTCGGAGCAGCAAGCATAGGTCAAGGCAGTGGCAGAGCTAGACGGGAAACACAAGGAGGTGGGAGTGCAAGGGGGGGGCGGAGGAAGGGGTAGTGGACGAAGAGCACCGATGGGGGTACGAGAGGCTGGGAGAGGGGCAGCGGCACGGGCAGGTGGAGCGGCGGGAACGCCCGCTCCCCCTCCCGTGGGCGGGGGTGG